GCTTACAGAGAAGAAAGCCCTAAACCAGCGATGAGGAAGAAGAAACGGTAACGAAGAAGACGACTCATTTATATATATATATCTGTGTTTTTCCTCGTTTTTTCTCTACCCCAAAAAAAAATATATATACTTGGGCGAAAAGCAAATTAATTGGCTATGTAAAAGTTACAGGTCGTTTACTTAACAATCGTCAAAGACGAAATCTCATTGGATGGTTACGTATTTAATGAGCCTAGAGACAAATCGTTAAATAATTTGTTTTTCCTTCTGAATTCATAAATCACAAAACCTTTAAACCACTTAATTACAAGAGGCTCAAGTCCACAGGATTGGGAAAATCACAAAAGCCCACATCTAAGACACTTCCAAAAATCGATCTAACCTTTCATGAGTGACCAATGTTACATTTCACCCATCCAAGGATGGGTTTTTTCCATTTGGTTACCTTTGGATGGAGATTCAATACCTAAAGCTTAAGGGGGACACGGAGATATAGATATGGTCGAATAAAATAAAATTTATACATGAACCATAATAATATCATGAGGAAGAAGTAAAAATAACGGGAGAAATTGTGTATTGCTTTCAAAGGAAAAACAAAACATTCGTAGTAAATATAGCATTCAAGGAAAGCCGATTCCAATGTATGGCTCTAGTCGAGTAGAGAAGGTGAATCTATTTACAAAGCGAAGGACTTTTCTCAAATTCTTTAGTAAAAAGGACACTCTTCTTAAATCGAAATCAGTGATACCCAATTGGAGCTGGAGCTTCCTTTAGCTCACGACCTTGGTAGTGAATATCCTGCAAGCAAATTGACAATTATCCATCAATAAATAGAAGATTTACGGTTTTAGAGTTTGTATTCTTTTCAATAACAGAGAAGATGATTAGAAAAACTTACGGATGCAAAATGATTGACATCACGGTGGTGAGCCTCGTCAGCACGGACCACCATGACGACGTCACGGAGTGTTGCATCAGCGGGTAGCCTCCAGTAATCAATGGCAATGGCAGGAGCAGGAACGTTTTCGATGTTACCTTTGTCGAGTTCCTTGAGGAATTCAGTGTAAGAGTGAATTGCTTCTTCTTCAAGGTACCCAACCATACGGTGAGCGAATTTCGGAGAGATCAAGTAACCGAGGAAATAGGCGTTGAAGAACACTCCTTGAACAGTGATGACAAGAGCTCTCTCGTACCATTTGGGTTTAGCTACTTCCATGAATGTCATCAAGTGCATCCTCTCGTTCTCTGCTTCCTCGAGCAGAGCTTTGATCCAACCACCGCTTTGCTCAAACCTCCGAAGCGATTTGCAGTGAAGTAACATTCCTCCGACCATTCCAGGAACTGCTGCTACAGTTTCCAACATCATAGCTCGGCATCCATATCGCCTCTGTATTAACAATTCAGCACAAGCATTTCTCATTTGGCTTAATGTTCTGTTTAAACATCTTAATTCGTTTGGATCAGCAGAACAAGTTGATATAAACAATTTGCAAGAATTCTAAGCACAGCAACAGAGTGAACAATAAAATA